ATCAGAAAGTCCACCAGTGAGTTTGCCTCGCCTCCCGTGCTTGTATGGAAAAAAAATGGTGACTTACGGGTGTGCACAGACTTTCGCTGGCTTAACAGACGAACACTGAAGGATGCTCATCCCCTGCCTTACCAAGCTGACTGCTTGGCTGCCCTGGGTGGAAATGCATTTTTTAGCACAATGGATCTGACGTCTGGCTTTTATAACATGCCGCTGCATGAAGAGGACCGCAAGTACTCTGCATTCATGACACCCATGGGTCTGTACGAGTACAACCGTCTCCCTCAGGGCCTGTGCAATAGCCCAGCCAGCTTCATGAGAATGATGACCTCCACATTTGGTGACCAGAACTTTCTCAGCTTGTTGTGTTACCTTGACGACTTGCTGGTCTTCGCGCCATCAGAGGAACTAGCTCTGGAAAGACTGGAGCTGGTTTTCAGTCGTCTTCGTCTGCACAACCTGAAATTGGCACCGAGGAAGTGTTGGCTGCTAAGGAAGTCTGTAATATTTCTTTGGCACGTTGTTGATGAGTCTGGTGTGTTCACCGACCCTGCCAAAGTCGAGGTTGTCAGCAAGATGACCACTGCAGATCTAATGGAGCCTGATGGAGTCACACCATCCTAGTCTTGTGTCAGATCATTTCTGGGTATGGTGAACTATTACCAGCAATTTGTGCCTAATTAGTCCAGCATAGCAAGGCCTCTCTTTGACCTCCTGGCTGGCCAGAAGCAGAGACGCAAGGGACGGCGACGCGTTCAAGGTGCTGTTCAGTTGCGGAAGTTGACATCGGCTGACTGGACTCCCGAACATCACCAGGCTTTTGAGGAACTGCAGAAAGCCTTGGTAACCTCAGTGGTTTTGGCCCACCCAGACTTCAACCATCTCTTTGTGTTGTCCACCGATGCCTCATTGGATGGCCTGGGAGCTGTCCTTTCGCAGGTTCAGGAGGGTGACTGTGTGGCCCGACCAGTGGCTTTCGCCAGTAAATCCCTCTCAAGAGCTCAGAGGAAGTACCCTGCTCATCGCCTCGAATTCCTCGCCTTAAAGTGGTCCGTGTGTGACAAGTTTAGCCACTGGCTTAAGGGTCATGTCTTCACCGTGTGGACAGATAATAACCCCCTCACACACATCATGACAAAGCCCCGGCTGGATGCCTGCGAGCAGCGATGGGTGGCGAAGTTGGCATCCTATGTATTCGATATCAAGTACATCCCTGGGAGTCAGGTGCCAGGATGCGCGCTGTGGAAGTTCTCCATCAGCTTCAAACAGCTTACCCCTCCTGATGAAGATCCCCTACCTGTGTTCTCTGAGAGAGAGTTGCATGAAGGACAGTTGAGTGACCCTGTCCTCTCACAAGTGTTGTATTTTGTGGAACGTGGCCGGCACCCATCCAGGAGAGAAAAAACAAAGGAACATGTCATGGTCATCAGATACCTCAAACACTGGGAGAAAATGACAACGTGTAATGGCATCCTCTACAGAGTGTCCCAGGATCAGGTCTCTAGGAGGAAGAGATACCAGTTTGCGGTCCCTGACTCACTCAAATCTGAGGTTCTCAGAGGCATTCATGGTAGTACGGGTCATCAGGGGCAGTTTAGGAGTTTGAATCTGGCCCGTCAGAGGTTCTTCTGGCCTCTCATAGACCGAGATGTCAAAGACTATGTCCGCCAATGTCCAAGGTGTGTCATCAGCAAGCCTGCAGATCCAGAGGGGAGGGCACCTCTTGAGAGTATAAAGACCTCTGCACCTCTAGAGATCGTGTGCATTGATTTCTGGACTGCGGAAGATTCTAACAAGTCTGTTGACGTGCTGCAGGTGTTCTGGTCTCGAACAGACGTGACAGTGGGAAACGGAAGACAGCAGACCGATGGGAGTCCACGGTATACACTGTTGTGATTGTGAATGCCTCAACTCACACATCGTATCAGGAATCCTATGACTGGCCAAGAGAGAGTTGTCCATCGCAACCTGCTGATGCTTGTTAACTTCTTGCCTGTGGATGTGGACTGCTCCCCAGATAGCACCACTGTGTCCTCCAGTGAGAAGGGGTCGGACGATGTCACTGACACAGATGGCTTGAAGGCTGTTGTGGAAGAAGAGGATGTTCAGAGCAGAACTCAGGAGTGTGTCGGCAATCTGTCGAATGCATGTACGGATGGCCATGCGGGGGATGGTTTGCCTGGTGATACCCTGAGTGTGGACGACGAGCCCGAGTTTGGGGGCACTTTGCACTCACGGACAGGGATCAGCCCTAGACACAGCTGCACATATGCCTCTTCTGCTGACACCCTGAGTACACACACACACGCTGCACCATCTGTATGCTCAGACAATGCACACAGTGCCAGGCCACCCTCTATTCATCCTGATTCAAGCACTGTACACAGAGTTAGAACTCGTGTTGGATGCATGGTGAGGCCAGTTAACCGTCTGCTTCATGTGATGTCCACCCAAGGTGTTGTTGGTGATGCCAGTCAGTTCATTGACAAAGTTTCTAAGTCAGTTTTTCAGGTATTCCAGTGAATTAATGGTTCTCAAGTGTGGGTCAGGTTTTCATATGTCATTGCATCACCATGAACGAGTCTGAGTCCAGGCGTAGGGCCTTTTTTTTAACGTATGGGTCGTGGTTTGTGTGGGGTGTAGACTGCATCCTACTTCCAGAAGCTGGTAGAGAGTTAGGCGCCATTCTCTTTCCGCTTCATCCTTTTGGTGATACTCATTGAGTTGGACCACATCAGGTTAAGTTTTTTTTTTATGTTTTATGGTGACTGTAATGTTTCGCATATCTAGGATTTTTGGCGAAATTCTGTTGGGGTGGGTCTAACAGAGTTAAAAATAATCGCTTGTGTTACATGATGTAGTTTTGGAGCCACCTGGTGGGTTAATAGTGCAACTGCATACACGGGGTTCTTTCTCACGTATCATACGTGCCTCTAGCAAAGGAAACACTTCCAAGCTAGAGGTAGATGCACGTGAGCAACGATGTGATCAATATTTCCATGTTTAATGTTTTAAAATTGGTTTCATGACTATCAGTAACATGTATTTTGACTGTAAGCACTACTAGCATGTAATATAAAAGTAACTGACATGTACATGCAGAAATAGTACTTTCAGTCGTAGGTCTAGCTAACGTTAGCTGGTTATCTAATCACCTGCTTGCTAGCTCCCGACCGTGATGTTTTAGTAGTTATTTTGGATGATTATTGTTCTGTTCCTTTTTATACAGATCTGATGGTTGCAGTTGCATAACACACAGTTACTGATTGTGTGCTGTTGATTTTTATACCAGGTAGGCTTTGTTAAATGTAGGATTCACATATTGTCATTGCATGAAAATCTTGCAATTCCAATATTAGAATTTAGTGTGGGTTGTGTGAAATGAAAACTTTTGTTGACGTGGTCAAGTGTAGTAGTAAAATTATTTTTTTCATTCTTAAGATGTCGATGCGAGGTTTTTGTAATATGACAGTAACATGTTGCACTGTATAAAATATGAGATGTTCTGTTAATTGTCTATGGTCAAAATGTTTGTTTAGAATGTTTGAGGATTTTTATTGTGGGTATAGAAGAAAATTGCTCTCATTGTTTAGATACTCTTTAGAAATCATACATAATACTACCACTATACGATCCTGTGTTTGGTTTATACTAGTATGGACAGAAAAAGACTATAATACTGTGAAAATGTATTTTATATTAGTCTTTTGTGAGCGAAAGGAAACACTTCCAAGCTAGAGATCTGATGGTTACAGTTGCATAACACACAGTTAATGATTGTGTGCTGTTGATTTTTATACCAGAATAAAAGGAGAACCAGAGTGAGAGCAAGTCCTGTGTGGCCGTGCCATCCTTCCACGCCATAGACACAAAAGGGACACACTCAGTCTACAGACAGACACAGAGGGTTACATGTGCAGGATGTGTACTCACCAGTGTCTGATAGAGATTCTAATGTTTTGTTGAAGAAAACCTGATGATTCAGAGGAGCTTTTCTTCAGAGACAAACAGATATTGGTCACGCCTGCAGCTCTGCAGTCTCTAAGACATAGCCTACGTTTCACTTTCAATGAGGACGTGTGACATTGAAGCTCTCCTCTTTCAGTGTTGCTCCACCTCTCAGTGTACAAAACTTCACCGCAGCAATAACATCTGAGCAGATTACTTTGAAAGCAGCTGCTGCTGAAATACATCTGAGTCATGACAGCAACAGTTACTCACATGATCATTTCCTATTCTGAGACTGTGTCCACAAATAACCAGACCAGACACTGCTGTTTGTGAAAGGTCACCAGTCAAAACAGTTAGAAAGCACTTATTGAATCTTACAAACAATATCATATGTTTTAATTTATGATCTTAATCTCTACAGTAACTTGTAACTAAAGCTGTCAAAAAGAACAATAACAATATTGATGGAATGATGGAATGAAACAGAACTATACCTACCAGAAAAGTAAAAATACCTCACACCTGTACTTCAGTACAGTAAATGTACTTAGTTACTTCCCAGCACTGCTGCAGGATGGAGTGGATGTCAGTAGTGTAACAGCTGACCTGAAAGGTCCTGGAAGAGACATTAAGAATACGGTACATTTGTTTGATTCTTAATTTTCCTTTATGTTCTCCGTTTAGTAATATTTTTTGTTTGTCTCAGACGTCATTAGTGTGTGTTTGGCGAAATAAGATGTGTAGCTGAGCTCCAGTAGTTTGTCCTGTGAATTCAGAGCTATTCAAGGGTCGTAAAATGCAGCTAAGAAAATAATTAAACTAAACACACATCAGGTGATTCAAATGATTCAGATTGTCTTCAGGTTTTAAAATCTTCAGGAAAATAAACATAACAGATAAAAACGTTAAAATTAGCAGGAAGCTGATAACCCAGTGTAATAAAATGGAAATCTTTAAGCCTGTAAAACTATTCTTATCTGAAACTGGTAGAAAGTTTACTGTATGTCCTTGTGGATAATCGATCAAATAAAGAAGTTATAACAAACAGATGTCTTTGTTATTTTTATTAAGGTTAGAAGAAAGTAGAGTAACAAAGTCAGCTGGTCCAGAGGACTCAGACTCCGCAGCATCTGGATAACTAAGGGATTTAATGCAGGAGATAACTGTGGAGTCTACGAGAAAGCTGTTCTCAGCCTTGATACCTTAATACTATGATAGTTCTCACAGGAACAGTAGGCAGAAGCTAAAACTATCTCACAGATGTTCATTATAGCTGAAACACTGGTACACATAGTGGACAGTAAAATGAATATAAGTACACAAAGTAAATGATACATATGATCATCAGAATGCATAAAGGTCAAATCAGTCCCCTCTTTGGCCGTTCCATGGACACATTAAGTTTATGAAACATGGTCAGAACATTAATGAATGCTCTCATCTTACTGTTTACAAAAGAGATTAGCGTCAGCTGTTTTTACACAACAGACATTCTTGAGTAGTGAGCAAGCAAGGGGAACTATCTTAATGTACTATCAGAGCATTTTACACCGGTTATTACAACACAACAATAACATGTAAATCAATACACATCAGCATAACAAGTCATTATCATTTTTCACATTAACCACCTTTTTCAAAACTCAAAGAAAATAATAGAAGAGCAGAACAACTGAGTAAGAAGCTGATATTCCTGTTTACAAAGCCGTACTGAACAATGCAAATCTATATATCTAAACACTTTATGAACAGTTATATTTAGATTGTCAAAATAGATAAAATATAAATACTATTTAATTCTCAGTGTTCAGGTTTGCTGAGTTAATAAAGCTGGAGGTTTAAACTGTGACACTGGTGTTAATGGTGGCAGGAAGTTGTCCAGTAAATGCTTCCAGCACACTCAAACATTTATCAGCACACACGGTAAATCTGTGATTTTCTGCAGATAACTCCTGCTGGAATACGTTTGTACAAACGAGTTAGCAGTTTCTCTCTTTATGTCGAACACATTTCTACTTGAGCTTTTGTTGGTCAGAATAACTGAAGTGTCGGTGTCTCAGTATGGAGACTGTCTCAGTACATCACTCTCTGTCCTGTTTGGTTCTTTGGTATCTGGGTCAGAATGGATCTCTGTCTTGGTATCTGTTGTAGTCTTGATTTTCATTTAGTTTTGAAGCAGAGATTCTTGGTCACTACGGATGCTTGAGCAGAATCTCTCTTCAGTTTATTTTAGCCATTTACTCAATTTTTTGGGGCGGGTAACTCAGTCTATGGGGACTTAGGAACTGGAGGGTTGCCTGTTTTAGTCCAGTATGAACCAGTCAGTATGGACTGGTAGTTGGAGAAGTGCCTGTTCACTTACTGTTAGGATGTGCATGTGTGTGTAATGAAATAAAGAAAATAACAATGGAGTGAAACATTTCAGTAAGAGGGATTAAACTTATTCTTCATTATCATCACCTTCTTTGTCACCAAGAGAAAATCTAATCTTCATCAGCAATTTCATAAACAAGAAAAAAGCAAAATCATGAACTTCTTCATCAGATGATAAAACTACTATCATCATCATCTTCGCCAAGGTGGTGAATTCATCTTCTTCACCACTATTATGTTCTTCATCATCATCATCATCATCATCTTTTAATATTTCTCTCAGGAACTGAACTCGTTGCTTCCAGCCTGGCTTGGCCTCAGATTTCTCTTCCTCAATCAGCATGTCGATGTACTCTGCAGTGGAGAGAAGATTTGGCTTCAATGAAATCTCTTTAAGTCTGTTTAAACACTCTGTGGAGCTGTCTGACAGTTTCAGCACCTCTGCCATTATTAATTCCCTGAATTCAAATTCTTCTAGCATTTTTTTAAGAAATGCCCAATAACTTGTTCGGTGGATTTCTTGCCGCTCATTTTTCTCATCAAACCTGAGTAACCCATCTTCAACCTGCTTCAGCAAATTTTCGAGTGACTTCTTGAGCTGCTCTTTTTTTCCGAATACCTCCTTTGTCAATGTCAAGCTTTTGGTTTCTATTTGATTCAAAGCAGCAAAGAACCTCTTCATGCTTTTTGTCCCCATGTTCCAAAACATCTGATCAAAGCCTCCCTCTTCATCCTCATCATCCCCACTCATGCTGCCTGCTGCAGATGATTTGTTGTCTGCAAACAAAGCTGAGTTATTGAATTTGAAGTGAACTGGCAGCCCGTCTTTTGTTTTAGGACATGGGACACCTGAAGCATTGATTCCCTCTAGAACTGGTGGATGCTGGCCGTCTGCGAATGTCACCAGAACCCTGATGTTTTCTGCCACATCTTTGCCAAAGATTGAGAGTATGGAGTCAAACACATATTTCTGTGTTGGCGTGAGTCGAGGTAAAGAAGCCTGAGCTACAAAACACACAGCGTCAATTTCACTGACACCAAGCTCAGCAGAGAAGAGATTACACAGCTGTTCTGTGATCTGTCTGTCTGTTTTTATGCCTCTTGTATCTTCAAACTCTGGAGTGTCAACAATGGTCAGAGAGTATTCTGTTTTAAAACCCTCCTGGTGGTTGATTTTGTACACAGTGACTTCAGAGGTCTGGCTTTCAGCCTGTGACGTCGACTGACCCTCGTCAATTAACTTAAACCGATATGAATCCTCCCATTCGACACCTAGAATGTAGTTGATCAGTCCATTGATGAGAGTCGCCTTTCCCGATCCGGTCGCTCCAAAATACATTATTGTGCGATTTTTCCTCGTGCTTTCTTTGCCAAAACTGTATCTTCTACATCCATCAATGTCCGTATCTTCTTCTTTCAGAGGCAGTTTGTAAACTGAAGGTGATTCAGAATTTATCCTTTCACTTCTACTTTTGAGGAGTTCTGTGAGACGTTTAAATTTCATTGTGCAGACATTAACAGAGATGCTCTCCTTGCTTCTTCCAGCTGCACCACAGTCACATCTGACCCTGACAACATATTCTGTCTCTGGCTGAAGCCCTGAAATGATCGCCTTTTCAGTTCTCGACATCATTTGCTTCCATTGGAGATCTTCCTCTTTCACCCCGTTGTCTGTTTTGGCGTACTCCACGATGTAGCTCAAAATCTGGACATCTTGTTCAAGCTCAGCAGGTTTCTCCCAGCTGACTGAGATCTCACTTGAGTTTGGATCAACTTGAGGTTTTCCAGGAGGGCTGCAAGGTAAGGTTTTAATGGAACCACTGGCTTCATTGGCCGGCCCAACACCTGCTGAGGTCACTGCTCTGCATCTGAACATATACTCTGTGTTAGGACTCAGATGGCTCACTGTGACTTCTCCAGCTTTTGATGCTGTCTCTTGTTGCCATCCATCCTCTCCTCTGACACAGTACTCTACAGAGTAGGAGGTGATGTTCTCTGCTCCAAATCTGGGCGCAGAAATCTTCAGTGTCACACTGTTGTGCTTTATGTCACTTGCTGTTACTGTTTCAGGCTTTGAAGGCGGCTCAAAGTTCTCATTGACAGAAAAGGCGCCTTCATAAAGGTAGATGCTTGAACCTTTCTGTGTCTCATTTGTTAATCCCACTGTCAGGAACTTTATGTTCTTGTTCTCCTTGTTGGCCTCTGCAAAGTCACTGAAGAGCTTTGCTTTATTCCTCATTGCATCTGTTATTTCTTTTGAGGTGAACCATTGTTCCTTCTCTACATCTTGAGGGTCGTCTGGTTCGGGCGTTTGTTTTAAGTAGTTTGATAAATCTGAGAGGTACGGTTCAGCACTTCCCAGGGAGGTGAAAACAAAACACACAGCATGATCTGCACTGAAGGTTTCTTTACTAAGAACATTCTGAGAGGGGACGATCTTGGTGTTTTTCATCATATTGGTAAACGATTTTAAGATGCAGATTTCTGTCATTTTACAGTCCAACCACTCGTTCAGGTCTTTGCTGTTGAAAGGAGAAGAATGTCTCTTCTTCAGGATCTCTGCGAGCACAGCCTCCTCTTCTCCTCCTCCTCGGATTGATGGAAGTTTCTTTGCCAGATTTCGTTGGAATCCCAGCTTGAACTCAGAGCACATCTCTTTAAAGCTTTTAATCTTTTTGCCAATCTGTGGGAACTGCTGTACGGTGGTGGTTCTCATTGTGTCATTGCACCTCATTTCCAGCTCACTGAAGTCCTCCAGGACTCTCTGTGATTCCTGAACTAATCCTATACTTATCTGACGGACCAGTTTTGCAGCAGAAGAATCTAAACTTGTCAGTGGCAACAGCCAGACTTTCATTGGTACAGCCTTTTCTCCGTTGGCTCCCAGTAATCTTGGCAGGCTTTGGTAGACTTCTACTGCATCCTGAAAGGACACAGGACTTTTTTTAAGAGAAAAGTCTCCAAAGAATCTGCAGGAGAATTTCTCAACATTTGCTCTGTCCTTGTCTTCCAGTTTCAGGGAACCTTCACCCTCTATAGCAAGGCTGGGAATCTTCTTGATCATCATCTTCAAGTTCCCCTCAATGTCTTGATGATCTTCTTTTTTAGACACCTCACGGTCAAAGACAAAGAAGGCTTGTGCCCCATAAAGAATGGCTGTGACTACATGTGTTGCTAATCCTTTATCAAAGACATATGGATGCTTCACATTGCCTCTTCCAAGGTGATCCATCAACAGTTCCTGGAACTTTGTGGGAGCCTTGTACTTCAGAGTTACTCTGGCTTGATTTTTGGAAGTCTTACTGTCGTTCAGGTATTTGGCCGATCCATCAACCTCAACCAGTCCACTCAAGAAACTTGCCTTCAGGGAAGCTTCAACGTTTAGTGCTGAAGATTTGTCCTCAATTGATTCAGATGCAACTATCTCAAAGCCTTTATAGTTGTGTGGTCTTTCTCGTATATATTTTATCAGTTTATCATGGTCCCACAGTGTCATTCCTGCAAAAAAAGAAGCAAAAATCAAGTTCATCTTTCAGAAGCCAGACAGGAGAAGATCACCTAGCACACCTGTTGTTTGCAGGGTTGTTTGCAGTGTTGGGCAAGTTACTTCCAAAATGTAACAAATTATAGATTACTAGTTACTATCATTTAAGAGTAATCAGTCAAACAAAAATGAGAAACCCCTCACATTTTTGAACATATTTGATTATCTCTTTTCTAGTGCTGGGCAATGATTACAATTTTTTATCGAGATTAATTGCATAGTTATGCCCAAAATTAAATAACGAATTCTAAAGTAGTATATTGCGCACTTTTAATTTAAATGTACTGGTATATACACAATAGTTCAATAACATTCATCCATCGCCAACCGCTTATCCTGCGTACAGGGTTGCGGGAGTGCAATAACATGGTTTGCAAACACTTTAAACATATAAGGTGCTTTTTACTGGCAGTAGTCCCCTTTACACAGTACCAATGTGGTCTGTGGTCTGATGAGACCAATATAAACTTATTTGATTCAGATGGTGTCAAGCGTGTATAGCGGCAACCAGGTGAGGAGCACAAAGACAAGTGTGTCTTGCCTACAGTCAAGTATGATGGTGGGAGTGTCCTGGTCTGGGGCTGCATGAGTGCTGCCGGCACTGGGGAGCTACAGTTCATTGAGGGAACCATGAATACCAACATGTACTGTGACATACTGAAGCAGAGCATGATCCCCTCCCTTCAGAGACTGGGCGACAGGGCATTATTCCAACATGAGAACAACCCCAAACACACCTCCAAGACGACCACTGCCTTGCTAAAGAAGCTGAGGGTAACTGTGATGGACTGGCCAAGCATGTCTCCAGACCTGAACCCTAATGAGCATCTGTGGGGAATCCTCAAATGGAAGGTGGAGGAGCGCAAGGTCTTCAACATACACCAGCTCCGTTATGTCTTCATGCAGGAGTAGAAGAGGACTCCAGTGGCAACCTGTGAAACTCTGGTGAACTCCATGCCCAAGAGGGTTAAGGCAGTGCTGGAAAATAATGCTGGCCACACAAAATATTGACACTTTGGGCCCAATTTGGACATTTTCACTTAGGGGTGTCCTCACTTTTGTTGCCAGCGGTTTAGACATTAATGGCTGTGTGATGCGTTATTTTGAAGGGCCACCAAATATTGACTGTTATACAAGATGTATACTCAAAACTTTACATTGTAGCAAAGTGTCATTTCTTCAGTGTTGTCACATGAAAAGAAATATTCACAAAAATGTGAGGGGTGTACTCACTTTTGAGCGATACTGTAGTTATATTACAATATTAGTGTCACTGAATTGTAATGTTCTACATTACTATTGCGTTACTTTTACTGCTATTTAATATTTTAACATTTAATTATTCTGATAGTGAGATGTGCCTGCATAGATGTGTTCTAATGATGCAGAGTTTGAATTTGAATTTTGTACTTATTTCAGGAATGTATCATCTCATTTTCGAGGGGTCCTTCAACATTTCCATGTATAGACACAAAAGTTTGGGAAAACACAATACACACACACACATATACAAAACAATAACTCGCTCACCTGCCCCCACAATTAATATAGCAAACAAATTGAAATACATTGACAAAAAAAAATCCAGTAAAAAATTAATGCGTCGTTTATCAATATGTCTTATGTAACATACAGGATAAAGTCACATCTCCACAGAGAAATGTCTAATGAAAATCAAGATAAAGAAAGTCATGATTATATTCATACTACTGTATATATTCTACAACCCCAATTCCAATGAAGTTGGGACGTTGTGTAAAACGTAAAAATACAGACATACAACAGAATACAATGATTTGCAAATCCTTTTCAATTGAATACACCACAAAAACAAGATATTTAATGTTCAAACTAATGAACTTTATTGTTTTTTGAATATATTCACTCACTTTAATTTGGTGCCTGCAACACGTTCCAAAAAAGCTGGGACAGGGGCATGTTTACCGCTGTGTTACATCCCCTTTCCTTTTAACACCACTCAATAAGTGTTTGGGAACTGAGGACACTAATTGTTGAAGCTTTGTAGGTGGAATTCTTTCCCTGAAAAAGACATTGCTTGGATGGCAGCATATGTTGCTCCAAAACCTGTATGTACCTTTCAGCATTAATGGTCAATCACAGATGTGCAAGTTCCCCATGCAATGGGCACTAACACCCCCCCCCCCCACCACCATCACAGAGACTGGCTTTTGAACTTTGCGCTGATAACAATCCGGATGGTCCTTTTCCAATTTCCAAAAACAATTTGAAATGTGGACTCGTCAGACCACAGCACACTTTTCCACTTTGCATCAGTCCATCTCAGATGAGCTCAGGCCCAGAGAAGCTGGCGGCGTTTCTGGGTGTTGTTGATATATGGCTTTCGCTTTGCATGGTAGAGTTTTAACTTGCACTTGTTGATGTAGCAATGAACTGTGACTGACAATGGTTTTCTGAAGTTTTCCTGAGCCCCTGTGGTAATACAGCACATTCTCATCTCAGACAGCGTGACAAAGCGTAAGGATTTTACGCTAAAGGTACCCTTCAGCGTCCGTATGAAACGCCCCCGCAGCAACACAAGGGAAGCTAAACCTACCTGTTAGCACGGCCGATGTGCACAATTGTAGGGTTAGCCGGTCGACATGCATAAAGTCAGTGACTTAGGTTTAGGTACTAACATTTCTGATGGTTGCGGTAAGGTTAGGGGCTTCAGGGGGCTGTCAACACCTTTATCACAAACGTAGCTAGCAAGCATCCGCTCTCAAAACGTCGGTATATGACGCCCTGAGATGAGAACCGGCTCGGTAATATCCTTTACACATTGATGGTAAAGCTTAAGTTGTCTATTTTCTGCTGGACAGGTAATTAACTTTGTCAGACTTTAGCAATCCAAATGAAAGCTGTTGTTTCAGAGCTTTAGCTATTCGCTGGCCAGAATCACAGAGAGCCGTGTTTCCCCTGTCAGTGGTGTGAAATATGGATTTATTTAATGGCGCCTACTTATTCTCCAGCCTGTGGTTTGACTTTGCTGGTTACTTAGCGAGACAGTCAGCTGATCAGTAATGTTAATTGGCAATAAAACCGTAACGTTAGGTTAGAGCATGGAATCATCAGCCAGCTAAACTTTTACAGCACTGGTAGAAAAATATGTAACGTCAGTTGGATTGGTTTATTTTCCAGTGCTGTGCTTTGGCTTGTGGTGTTATGTTAGTTGGATTAATTTCATGTAGTTACACTCTCTCTCTCCCTCCAGCGCTCTGTTTTTGGCTTTGTCTGTTACATTCGTGAGAATCAGCTGATCGCTAATTGATTTTGTATTTTAATTGTTTCCGCCATGGAGAGTCGGAAAGCAGCCACTGCGCAAAAACCTTGGTTTGTTTCATTCAGTGCGTCCCGAGTATGTGAAAATCGTCCTGTCTAAAATTGCACTAAGTACTTGGTACAGCACACCTGAAAAACTGCTTTGGAAAACCCCAGCAGAAACAGCTACAGTATGCTGCAATGACCCAGATGCGAGGAAATGCCAGCAGATCGTGCTTCATCCAGCCAGAGGGAACAATCACCGACTGTTCGCAACTTTCTAAATCCTTCCATCTCACAGAGAAAAGAAGTCAGGTTGAAACAAAATTAGCTTTATTGGCTTGAATGTTAATACAACAGGTAGGTATTTGCATGTTACCCTCCCATTACTTTGCATTTACTTTACATGCACAATAAAATTGAAAAGCCCCAAATTGCATATTTATGTTAGTAGATCAGCTTACGTGTTGATTTGCAGGTGATATCAAGTTTGCACACGTTTTTACTCACGCAAACCTTTAGTAAATCTGGCCCATAGAGTAAAGCTTATCTAATAGAAGGTAATGGTGAACCATGTGACAGGCCTTTGAGAGATCAATAAAAACAGCACCAATGAAATGACCATTATCAAAAAATTTAAGAGGAGAGCAGTTGAAGTAGAAAAATTGGATCTTGGAGCCAGAGATAAAATGTTATAATTATTAATGTACTTAGTTAATTGATTAAAAATGTATTTCTCAAATATTTTAGCAACTGCACAAATGATGAACACCAAAAAGTTGTTATTCTGGCAGCTTTGCAAGATCTTTGATCTGCAAGAGAATCATATGTGAGCTGCAAAACAGCTTCCATCATTTGGTCCTGCACTGCACTTTAATTTTAGGTCACGTTGTGCATAATAGACATAATAGTAGGCATGATTTTTATAAATTAGCAAGAGCCAACGGGCACGGAAGAATAAGAAGACCATGCCAAACCATTGGAGCAAAGAAATTTTGATCTACACATGAAAAATGATGATTGAAGGCATGATCTGTGTGCAAAGGATTGGATAAAATGTCATTGTCCTTGCCTATTTGTTTACAGAAGTCACAGAGTTATCTGCGGATCGGGTGGTTTGTCATTAAAATTAACCTTCTGATTAATGGGAGGGGGCGGGGATATTTGAATTTGATGATTATTTGAATCTCCCGACACTGCGACAGGATCGGTCAGGATGAACTGACAGCAGCCTCTCTAATCATGAAAGTAATTTGTTAAAGCGCAAACCTATTTACACATGATCCATCAGGGGAGCTACTGTCTTGTTAAGGGGAGCCGAGCTCCCCTGTAGTTTGCACACTGCCTACAATCTCGACCATCGGATTCCCATAACGTAACTTACTCATGGATTTGCTTTTCTGCTGCCGAAATATTTCTCTGTGTTGGTGAATTATAAAAAAAATAAAAATAAAAATAAAAAAATAAAAAACACACCTCAATTTTGGGTTAAATGCCTTGTAACCTATCGGGGGCCCGTCCGGGATATCATATCCAGGAGTTTTGTTGTTTTTTCCCTCTAGACTGTGTGATCTTCCTTTTATTTGTGGTGTGCTGTTCGATGCTACCTGTGGACTGCTGTGTTTCTCCCTCCTGGTCAGTATTTTATTTTCCTGAACTCATTACTACACATAAACACAATCCCATGTTTCTGTTTAAGACTGTGGATCAGCTGGTAAACCCAACCCCTCCTTGTGCCTCAGCTGGAAGTAACGATGACTGAATTGTTTTTATCTTATTTTACCAATAAGGTGGTGTCAATCAGAGCCTCTATTACCCCCGTGGACTCTTACTCAGAGGTTCCTCACCAGCAAGAACAGAGTTTTAACCAGTTTTATCCCATCAACTTGTCTGAGCTTTTAAAAACAGTATCACAAATGAGAGTGTCCTCCAGCCCACTTGATGTAATACCTACAAAGTTTTTACTGAAAGTAATAGATTCTGTTGGGCCCCATTCGATCTCTGTGTTCAACAGCTCCCTATCTACTGGTTGTGTCCCTGATTATTTTAAAACGGCTTGCGTGAACCCACTTTTAAAGAAACTTGGTTTAGATCCCTCCCTCCTACATAATTTTAGACCAATTTCAAAACTGCCTTTTATTGCAAAGATTCTAGAAAGAATTGTGTCCAAACAGCTGCTCACTGTACTGGAAAATAACAAATTACTTGAAAAGTTTCAGTCTGGTTTTAGGAAGTACCACAGCACTGAGACTGCCCTGCTTAAAGTCACCAATGACCTTTTAATGTCTGCTGATGAAGGCATGTGCTCAGTCCTGGTACTCCTGGACCTTAGCGCTGCTTTTGACACCATTGATCACAACATCATGTTAGACAGACTGAGGCACTGGGTGGGGATCTCTGGTACTGCCCTAGAATGGTTTTCATCCTACCTGTCAAATGGTAAGTTTTGTGTGTCTGTAAACAACTGTCTCCTCGTTCTGTCCAGTTAAATATGGTGTGCCTCAGGGGTCGGTCTTAGGACCCATTTTGTTTTCCTTGTATCTGCTTCCCCTTGGACATATTATCCATAAACATGGCATTTCTTTTCATATTTATGCTGATGACACACAAATATACTTGCCCGTCAGATCCACAGACCCTGGAATGCTGAGTTCACTTAACAACTGCCTTTGTGAAGTTAAAAAATGGATGTCAAATAATTTCCTCCAGCTGAACTCAGACAAAACAGAAATCCTGGTCATCGGGTCCCAGCAGATGGCATACTGCCATCTGCTGGTTCCCTAGTAAATCACATTAAGCCTGTGGCAAAGAACCTTGGTGTTTGGTTTGATAGTAATTTAAATTTCGAGCAGCACACCACAAAGCTTGTTCAATCATGTTTTTATCAACTTAGAAATATAGCAAAAATTCGATCTATGTTAACTTTTAAGGACACCGAGACCATTTTACACGCCTTCATCTCATCACACCTGGATTATTGCAACAGCCTTTTCACCCGTTTAACCCAAAAATCTATTGATCGACTCCAGACTGTCCAGAACTCAGCTGCCAGGCTTTTAACCAGAACAAAGAAATATGACCACATTACTCCTATTTTAGCTTCATTACACTGGCTCCCAGTGTGTTTTAGAATTGACTTTAAAATTCTATTGATCACTTTTAAAGCTCTTCATGGCCTCTCGCCTTGTTATATTTCTGACCTTTTAGTCCCATACGCACCAGCACGTACCTTGAGATCCTCGGGCAGAGGTCTGTTATCTGTTCCAGAGTCTCGACTGAAAACTAAAGGGGACAGAGCGTTTGCTGTCAGGGCCCCGAGGCTCTGGAACAGCCTGCCCGAGGAAACCAGGTCGGCTGAGTCAGTGAACTCTTTTAAGTCCCTTCTTAAAACATACTTTTATAGGAGAGCCTTTCCCGATCTTATTTGACTTTATTTTATTGTATTTTACTAATTTTATATTTATCTTAAATGTGTATTTTAGTCTTTTCAATGTTTTCTTGCTTTTATCTTGTATTGTTTTTGTATTATTGTCTTTTGGGTATTATTGTCTTTACACTTGTTAAAGCACTTTGTAACTTGTTTTTGAAAAGTACTCTAAGTTAAGTTAGATTAGTCAAAGGTGCTCTAGTTATTGGGTTCATGATCCTAGCTTGGTATGTTATGCAGCTTTTATCTTGTCATATGAATATGTGAAACTTGACTTTGTGTAGGCTATTTCTCCCTGAGTTTGTTGTTGCCTTAGTTATTGATTACCAGCAAGTTCCATTTTGGTAGTAGTTCCTGAAAAGATCCTGTTACTGAAACAAATAACTGTAAGTTACTGAAACATACTAAAAACATTACAGTATATACTAAACAAGACATTTTGAAAGCTTGAACTTTGCCTTTTGTCTCTTGTCATGGATTGAATGGGCCCCTCTGACAAAACAACTGGCCCCGTCTTGCTCGGTTTGGGACTGTGAGCTCCACTTTATCTGAGCTGCTGAAGTTAAACTGTGTGGATTTGTGTTGAGATCTCTGCCTGTTAAACTTTGTTTGCAATAAACTTTGTTTTGACATTTGTGGCTCTGAACATGTGACTCCTTACCAGGGACGAGTGAGTCGCTGCGGCAGTCGTACAACATCCCGAGGCTGAAGGGCCGGCCGAGCACCGCCACCTCCATCGTCCCGCCGGCTTCCGGGTCCATCGCTCAGTCTGAACTGGACAAAATGGACAACAGCTTGATAGTTCACTTCTCTGACTCTTCTGCTGTCCAACCTGTTATTTGTCTGTGTGATGTTTAAACGGTGTGGTATCATGTCCAGCCACTCTGACATTTTCACTCTCATTTTTAATTTGACCATTTCACGTATTTAGATTTGTATAAGTTTTACAGGCAACTTTCATATGAAACAATCAACACTGATTTTGCATTTAAAGCAGACATAACGGGTATTTTTTTTACAATAAAGTGAAAACAGTGTGTTCTCTGGTCGTGAATCATCAGCTTAATCTGCAGCTTCTCTGCTTTACGGAGCTTTGTGACTTTCAGCTCATTGTTTATCTGTAGGGATACAGCTTTGCTGTTCTCATGCATGTGCAGAGGGGGGTGCGATGGGTGCTTGAGCACCTGTTCTTTTGCCCTTTGATGCCCAAAGTACCCTTTTGTTAATGAAACATTTAATGAATACATTTTTTAATTTGTAAAGGCCTTTTGTGAAAGCCTGCCCAATCAAGCTATTAATAAAATGAATGAATAATAATTCATAAAATAAATGACCCACATCATGACCTTTCACCTGATGACCTCATCAGTGACGAGCCCTCCTGCTCAGACACAGTTAGTGATTCAGCAGCACTGCCTGCTGGACACCTCTGATAACGCCGGTGAGAGGGATTTCCCTCAATGTGCAACAAACAACATCCCAGCCAGCCTGGACCCTCACCAGTTTGCTTTCAGAACCAACAGATCCACAGAGGATGCCATCTCCACACACCTTGAGAAAAACAACACCTACAGCGGCGGCAACAGGGGGCGGCTGTGGCTCAGGAGGTAGAGCGGGTAGCCCGTTAATTGGAGTTCAATCCCCGGCTCCTCCAGGCTGCATGTCCTTGGGCAAGATACTGAACCCTGAATTTCCCCTGGTGGCTGTTCCAGTGTATGAATGCACTTAGGCTCAGTATTTGAATGTGATGTAGTGTAAAAGCGCTTTGAGTGGTCGAAAAGACTAGAAAGGCGCTATACAAATACGGAACATTTACATCAGAATGCTTTGTGGATTTCAGCTCAGCAATCAACACAATCTCCCCCATGAAACTGATCAGCAAACTCAGCACTCTGGGTTTAAACACAACACTCAAACAGATCCCAGTCAGTTCGGATTGGTGAACTCACCACTTCCACTCAACACGGGAGCCCCGCCAGGGCTGTGTGCTCAGCCCCCTCCTGTTCATGCTGTACACCCACAACTGCAGAGCCCAATGGACACTAAGGACAGTAGCCACCCAGCCACAGCCTGTTCACCCTGCTGCCTTCTGGGAGGAGATACAGAAGTTTCTGCTGCTGCACCACCAGACTGCAGAACAGCTCCCCCCCCCAAGCTATCAGACTCTTAAACTCCAAGTCATCCTCAGCACTGCTCTACTGATTATAGTTTATTTCTGTTTACCATTTTTATAATTGAATCTTTATTAACACTATAACTTGTTATATTGCCACAATAAAACCTACCTACCTAACAGCAACTGTTCCCTGTAAGTTATATCAGCCCGCAGTGTTTCAAAGCAAGCACCTGGGTATTCTCCGTCTTTCTTTTTTTAAACATTTCATGTAGGTTGAAGTTAATTCTGTAGCTGTAGAATGAAGTTTCAACAGTGGAGGCTGGACGCAGATTCACACCACTGAGTTCTAACAGCAGCAGGAAAAGGCATAGAGCATACTAATGTGTTTCACATATAATGTTACATTTGTGCAGGTAATGCTGGAGTGTAAACTTCACTATATCCAGTGAACATCAGGACAGAGCCGCTAATGTTAGGCTAAACCCTGATAGCATCCAGGACCGGCTTCCACTCAGTGAATTTGTTGTTGAACTGGACTTTCAACGTTCCCTGTAAACCCACAAACTAAGGTTCACTCTGATCTTACCCCACATTAATTATGGTGTGTATTCAGACAAAGAGCTAGTTTTTTGGGATTGGTAATTATTTCTGCAACCAAGTCTCCTTAGCTTGAGGTGGAGCTCCTTGTGTTGGTCAGTTAAAAACTTTCTGTTCCATCATCTCAGCGTGAAAACAGTACTTTCATTTTGACGTTTTAGTGTGTAACCCAGAATTAATAGTATACTGGGTTAAAAGAGTTTATTATAAGTAAATTTGATATTAAAAGTCATGGAATATTGATGGTAAAAATATGGTGATGTATTTTTGTTAAAACTGTTGTATGTTGCACATGTTATTTGATAAATAACTAAAAGATAATGTTTAGTTAAAAAAACATGTTATGACGAGTTAATGGGTTGTATATGCAACTTGTTTATCTGTGGTAATTGTGCTGGAGTCTAAGAGTCGGTTTTGATTGGGTGATTCGAGTGGGCATGAGGGGAGTGCATGAGCAGGTGCGGGAGGGGCGAGGTGGAGTGTGTGAGCGGAGTGATGGACAGAGACGAGGGAAAAAGAGTTCGGAGAACTGTGTTAGCTTTGCAGACGAAGTAAAGTGAGAAGGCTTAACTAACGTTCATACCAAGCTGTGGACTAATTTCGGGATTGTCTACTCGACATTCTGTGCTGGGATTATGTCTGCTAGTTCGTGGGAAGTCGAAGAATCCACCGAGGAGTCTTGATTGACTGTTTCACGGGGTATGTAATGCTAGCTAAATAAAGTAGCACAGTAAGCTACATAGTACATTCATTGGAAAAGTGAACGGACAGTATATCTTCAGTTAGCTAGCAAAGCTAATCAAGTGGACTTATAAAACGTTTTCAACGAGGAAACGCTGAAGAAAACCAGATAGCGCTCTGAGCTACCAGGCTGCTCAGAGTTCCTCTGGCCACGTGGGAAAAGGACGCCGAAGGCTCATCTCTTTTGCTCCTGAGGAGTCTGTCCCCGCTCACGGGAATCGACGCTTCGCTCCAGTAGACAGTGACTGACGGTAGACCCATTCACAACAAACTCACAGAAGTGCACCAGTTACCAGGTACTCATTCCTTTTATTTCTCTGCTCATAAACTGAGTGAAACGACCATTTGGTTTTGGGTCTCAACGTACACGAGCCACGCATCAGGCCTGCATCGTTGTTTGAAGTGGTTTTGCCGGCTGTATGTGTGAGTGTTATAGTGTGGGCCCACTGATATTTGTTGCAGTTAAAGTGCATTTGTGGTGTGGTATTATCTTGTAACAGAACTACTGAATCACTGCGGATCTTGTGTGGATATTTGATTTATTGTATATTGCACCAATTGTTTATTTTGCATTTATTTTATTTAATATTTTTCTAAATAATAAGAGACCTTCGTTAATCATATACCAGAGTGGTGTTCGAGTATTTTATTTCAAAGCCAGTTATCATATTTGGGTTTCACATGTTGATTACAAGGGAAGCTAAGATAGTTGACGCTGGGTTTCAGTGTTGATATTAAGAAACAATAATCTAAAAGAACTCAGGGCCCTGCCCATACATACTTGGTAGAGGGTAGGAGCGCTACATAAAATGGAGGCACCGCTGGGATTGTCTTAGCTTTCCAGCAAAATATAGTGTTGATTTGATAGCAAGTAAAATAAGCCCATAAAAAAAAAAAAAACAAACAAAGGAAACAGTGAAAATGGTTGACCATACTGAGTTAGAGAAAGAACTTGCTAATTGGAGCCGTGGTGAGGGTTTAGATAGAGCTCATGCCCTGTTAGTGGTTCTCCCTGAAGAGGTAGAGATAGCTCAAATTGAAGACACTCTCACTACTATAAAGTGCTTAGGCCGTGTGCGTGTCCGAGGGAGGTTGTTCAATGCAAGGCTAGGCAAGCTTATGGTTTTGTGTGAAACTAACGAAGATTTAAGTACTGCGCCTGTTCCTCCCTATGTGCAACCCTCTGAGGAAGAAGAGCCTTGGCCCATAGTCATTCTTGGAGAGTTTTCTCCTACAGCTGAAGACTTCAGTAGCAAATTGAAAGGCTTGTTTCAGGCTGAAGGTAGGAGTATGGATGATCTTCAAAGTCTGCTGAACCCCACAGAATCCATCTTGAGGGCTGTTGGGGATTTCTTAGAGAAGGCAACCAAACCTCCATCTGAGGGTGGAGGTTATCGACGCCTGCGTACCTTTTCCGGAGTCTCGCCTGTTCCAGTAGGTGAGGAGCAATTTGACCACTGGATGGAGCAAGCATGGCTCATGGTCAAAGAGAGCGACTGCTCTGACAAAGAAAAGATAAGAAGGCTGATGGAAAGTCTCAAAGGGCCTGCTTTAGAAATAGTTAAAGCGATGCGAACCACAGAACCTACTGCTAGTCCTGGAGCGTGTTTAGAGGCGCTTGAGAGTGCTTTTGGGACTGCTGAGTCTGGCGATGATCTTTACTTTGCTTTCCGCTTGATGCAGCAGCAGACAGGAGAAAAGTTGTCTGATTTCCTCCGACGTCTGGAGCGGTCTTTGGTTAAAGTTGTCCAGAGAGGGGGCCTTCCTTCTAGCAACATGGGCAGGGCCCGTGTAGAACAGCTGCTGAGGGGCGCCATTGCATCTGACTTGATGTTGATACAGCTTCGCCTAAGGGAAAGAAAAACAACACCACCTACCTTTCTACAGCTCCTGAGTGAAATCAGGGCAGAGGAAGAGTATGAGGCTTCCCGGAAAAAGCTCAACAATACAGTGCATCAAGTGTGTGCAAAACAGGAAGGTGATAGCAAACATGCTGAAATACAGAGCCTTAAAGCTGAGATCAAAGAACTCAAATCCATGGTCACAGCAGTAGTGACAAAGTCGGTTCTTTCTAAAGAAGAGTACTCTGAGCCTGCTAGTGCCTCACCCAGCATTGACGGTAAAGACCCCGAGCTAACAGCTTTAAAGAAACAAGTCAAACGACTGCAGCAGAAGCTCACCAATAAGGTGCGTGAACCAGATGTTTCGCCCAATCCAGCGACAGTCTCTGCCATGGAGGTTTCAAAGCCAGTGTCTAGTTTCCCCAGGAGAACATCCAAAGTTGCAGAAGAGAACTTTTGTTATCGTTGTGGGGATAATGGGCATTATGCTGGTAAATGCAAAAACCCAGAGAACCAAAGTAAAGTAATTAAGAGGCTAATCCAAGCACTTAAGATGTCTAAGGAGGAGCAGCAGTCCAGCAATGCCAAATACACAGAGGTCAACTGCAGTGTGAAGGAAGGTTCTGTAATCACACAACCAACAGTTAGCTTGCCAGAAGGATTGGTTGGCCCCCCAAGCATTGTGCCATTGAAAGTCGATGGGCAGCCCTGTGATGCATTGTTTGATAGTGGCTCCCAGGTGACAATTATTTTTGAGTCTTGGTATCAGAAGCATTTGCCAGATGTGCCACTGCAGCCAGTGTCTGGGCTTGCCCTCTGGGGTTTAACTGAGTCTAATATGAGCTACCCTTACCGTGGGTATGTTGTGGTGGATCTTGAATACCCTGCTGAAGTAACAGGTATCAGCCAGACCCGGACAGTCCTTGCACTAATCTGCCCCAGTCCCAGAACTCCAGGCCAGGCCCCAGTCATTGTTGGGACCAATACCAGTCATGTCCGACGTATGGTCGAGCAATGCACAGCCAAAGGCATTGACCTCACTTCCACTTTTGGTATTCAAGCCTGTTTTGGAGAAAATAAGTCATCTCAGAGTGGGGCTGCTTCTGACCCCGACAGTGAAGAAGAAGTAGGGTTTGTTAGCTGGCAAGGTCCAGGTCCCCTGACCATACCCCCTGGCGGTGACTTTGAAGCGGTCTGTCATGTTGAGTTTAAACACCAGGTTGAGAATGAGATCCTGATGGTTGACTCATCACTGACTGCTCCGCTCCCGGCTGGTGTGTTCCTTCAGCCCATGGTCATTCCTGGGGATGCAGTGAATGTCAGCAGTTTCAGGATTTTGGTCCAAAACCAGTCACTCAAACAGACTGTTATTCCTATGGGAACAGTTTTGGGAAACATGTATACAGTTGAGTCTGTCACCACTATTCCCGCTAAACAACCAGTGTCATCAGAGTTTGATAAAAGTGTCATCAACTTTGGGGATTCCCCAGTGTCCGAGCAATGGAGGGAGCGACTGCGTCAGAAGCTGTCCGAGAGATCCCATGTCTTCTCCGTGCACGAATGGGACGTAGGATTAGCAAAGGGAGTAGAACACACCATCCGCCTGTCGGATGCACGGCCCTTCCGAGAGCGGTCTCGGCGCCTTGCTCCAGGAGACATTGAGGATGTCAGAAAGCACTTGCAAGAGCTCCTGCGGGCGGGGATCATAAAAGAGTCCCGGAGTCCATACGCGTCCCCTATAGTGATCGTGCGAAAGAAAAATGGAACTATTCGGATGTGTATCGATTATCGTTTCCTCAATAGTCGAACAATTCCTGACCAATACACAACACCATGTATCGATGACGCACTTGACTCCTTGTCAGGAAGTAAGTGGTTCTCAGTCCTGGATCTGAGGAGCGGCTATTACCAAATAGCCATGGCCGATGAGGACAAAGAAAAGACGGCATTCATCTGCCCACTCGGCTTCTATCAGTTCGAGAGGATGCCGCAAGGGATCACTGGAGCGCCTGCAACATTCCAAAGACTAATGGAAAAGGCTGTCGGTGACATGCACCTGCTGCAGGTCCTGGTCTACTTGGATGACCTAATAGTCTTTGGAAGGTCATTGGAAGAGCATGAAGAGAGACTTCTCAAAGTCCTTGATCGCCTCGGAGAAGTGGGGCTCAAAGTTTCCCTTGACAAATGCCAGTTCTGTTTGCCCAAGGTAAAATACCTGGGACACATTGTTTCGGCAGATGGTGTTTCCCCTGACCCCTCAAAGATCGAGGCAGTCACCAGTTGGCCTCAGCCTATGGACCTGAAAGGCCTGCAGTCTTTCTTGGGCTTTTGCGGCTATTACAGGCGTTTCATTGCCAACTATTCTGCCATTGTAAGACCTCTGACTGAGCTTACTAAGGGATATGGTCCAACTCAGAAGAGTAAGAAGCATGTCAAAGATCAAAACAAGTCCTATTTGGCCGTTTCTGAGCCTTTTGGTGCGAGGTGGGATCAGTCCTGCACCGATGCATTTCGCCAGATAATATGCTGTCTGACTCATGCACCCGTCCTGGCGTTTGCTGACCCCCACAAACCCTACATTCTACATGTAGATGCCAGTTTAAAGGGACTTGGTGCAGTCCTTTATCAGGACTATCCTGAAGGCCTTCGTCCTGTTGCATTTGCAAGCAGAAAATTGAGTCCGCCGGAGAGGAACTATCCGATTCATCAGCTGGAGTTTCTTTCCCTGAAATGGGCAGTTGTTGACAAGTTCAACGATTATCTGTATGGAGCCAAGTTCACAGTACGTACAGATAACAACCCGCTCACCTACGTGCTCACCACAGCTAAGCTCAATGCTGTGGGACACCGGTGGCTGGCAGCCTTGTCCACATACAATTTTGATATCCAGTACCGCCCAGGCAGACACAATATAGATGCAGACTTGCTCTCAAGAAACATGCCGTTTGAACATGAACAGAATGCAGAGGAATGGGAGACCATTTCACAGACAGGAGTGAAGTCTATATGCCAACAAGTCCACATCGCAAGCTCCTACAAAAGCGATCAGAGGTGTGTAGATCAGTTGGGAGCCTCTCCTAAGTGTGTCCCTGACATCTATGCTTTCCCAACACATGTGGAGCTGAATTCGTTGGGGCAGATGACAAAACAGGAGCTGGTGATGGCTCAAAAGAACGACGCAGTGATTGGACCAACTATCCAGGCAGTGAACCATGGCAGCTGGCCAACAGATACCAGTCCAGAGTTGTCTTGCATGAAACGAGAACTTGGGAAGTTGATCATGAAAGACAATCTGCTGCATCGTTTGGTTAAGCGTCCTTCTGGTGAGGAGGTAAGTCAGCTCGTCTTGCCAAGTGAGTTCCGTGCAGTAGTTTTGAAGTCCCTACATGATGACCTTGGTCACCTCGGAATTGAAAGGACTACTGACCTCTTGAGGAGCCGTTTCTTCTGGCCTAAAATGTCAGTTGAGGCGGAGGAGTATGTAAAAAACTGTGGCAAGTGCATTACTCGCAAGGCTCCTTGTACAAGAGCAGCTCCATTACACCAGATTAGAAGCAGTGGGCCTATGGATCTAGTGTGCATTGATTTCCTTTCGATGGAACCAGATTCTAAGGGGATTAGTAATGTGTTAGTGATCACTGATCATTTCACACGCTATGCACAGGCTTTCCCAACCAGAAATCAGAAAGCGCAGACTGTAGCCAAGATTCTGGTGGATAAATATTTTATCCACTATGGTCTGCCTGCTAGGATCCATTCGGATCAGGGAAGGGACTTTGAAAGTCGATTGATCAGAGAGCTCTTGATGGTGATGGGAATACGGAAATCACGGACTACACCGTATCATCCGCAAGGCGATCCACAACCGGAGAGGTTCAATAGGACCTTACTGTCCATGCTAGGTACTCTCAGCCAGGAGAAGAAGTCTCAATGGAGCCAGCATTTGGGATATTTGGTTCATGCCTACAACAGTACAAAGTGTGATGCTACAGGTTATTCACCATATTTCCTTCTGTTTGGTAGAGAAGCCAGACTCCCGGTTGATTTGTGTTTTGGAACTTCTCCTGATGGCCAAGATGATGTTTGCCATGCACGTTATGTGGCAAAGTTGAAGGAAGACCTGCAGAGAGCTTACCAGCTTGCCTCTGAAGCCTCTGACAAAACTCATTTGAGAAACAAAAGGTCATATGACAAGAGGGTCATATGCCAGCTTTTGGACATAGGTGACAGAGTCCTTCTAAAAAACTTGGGGCTGAAAGGAAAGCACAAACTTGAGAACCGGTGGAGCCCTGTCCCCTATGTGGTAGTGGGAAAAATGCCAAACCTACCAGTGTACAAGTTAAAGCCAGAAGCTGGGACAGGAGGTGTAAAAACACTCCACAGAGATCATATCCTTCCCATTGGACAGCATGTGAGGATGCCTGAGGTGGAAGATGAGGATGGCTCATCGGTTAGGGTAAAGACCAGAAGTGGAACCCGCATGAGGCAAGAGAAAGTTTCGCTTGAGAACCAAGAAGTCTTCCAAGAGTTACAGGATTTCTCTGACTCATCCTCTGATCTGGAGTATTATGTACCTCAGAGATCACCGAAACCCTACCATGCTTACCTGAAGCAGTTTCCGCAAGGCACCAAAAACAGAACAAGGTGTTCACAAGTCACTCAAGAGGATCCAGAGAATGTTCAGGAGTCAGAGGAAAGCCTCGCTGAGGAAAGTTCAGCGGAAGAGAAGAGTGCTAATGAACCAGTTCGGTTTGTGGACAAACACCAACCTGATCAGAATGCAATTCCTGAAGATGAAACTGATCCTGACTTAGAGTCTGAACAGGAGGCATACCCTGTCAGTATAAGATGTAGGGATAAGAAAGGTCCCAGATCTGATACCCGTTCTAAGAGAACTGTAAAACCAGTCCTAAGGCTAACTTATGACGAGCCTGGTAAAAGTAAAGATCAACCTCTTACCATAGTACACAGAGGTGTTGTTATTAAGATAGGAAAAAGCTAAAGTGTGCAAAGCCATGATACACCCTTCCTATTGAGTTAAGTGTTCAGTTCATTGGTCTGTTGAGGACACCAGACATTTAGAGGGGGGAGGGTGTAACCCAGAATAAATAGTATACTGGGTTAAAAGAGTTTATTATAAGTAAATTTGATATTAAAAGTCATGGAATATTGATGGTAAAAATATGGTGATGTATTTTTGTTAAAACTGTTGTATGTTGCACATGTTATTTGATAAATAACTAAAAGATAATGTTTAGTTAAAAAAACATGTTATGACGAGTTAATGGGTTGTATATGCAACTTGTTTATCTGTGGTAATTGTGCTGGAGTCTAAGAGTCGGTTTTGATTGGGTGATTCGAGTGGGCATGAGGGGAGTGCATGAGCAGGTGCGGGAGGGGCGAGGTGGAGTGTGTGAGCGGAGTGATGGACAGAGACGAGGGAAAAAGAGTTCGGAGAACTGTGTTAGCTTTGCAGACGAAGTAAAGTGAGAAGGCTTAACTAACGTTCATACCAAGCTGTGGACTAATTTCGGGATTGTCTACTCGACATTCTGTGCTGGGATTATGTCTGCTAGTTCGTGGGAAGTCGAAGAATCCACCGAGGAGTCTTGATTGACTGTTTCACGGGGTATGTAATGCTAGCTAAATAAAGTAGCACAGTAAGCTACATAGTACATTCATTGGAAAAGTGAACGGACAGTATATCTTCAGTTAGCTAGCAAAGCTAATCAAGTGGACTTATAAAACGTTTTCAACGAGGAAACGCTGAAGAAAACCAGATAGCGCTCTGAGCTACCAGGCTGCTCAGAGTTCCTCTGGCCACGTGGGAAAAGGACGCCGAAGGCTCATCTCTTTTGCTCCTGAGGAGTCTGTCCCCGCTCACGGGAATCGACGCTTCGCTCCAGTAGACAGTGACTGACGGTAGACCCATTCACAACAAACTCACAGAAGTGCACCAGTTACCAGGTACTCATTCCTTTTATTTCTCTGCTCATAAACTGAGTGAAACGACCATTTGGTTTTGGGTCTCAACGTACACGAGCCACGCATCAGGCCTGCATCGTTGTTTGAAGTGGTTTTGCCGGCTGTATGTGTGAGTGTTATAGTGTGGGCCCACTGATATTTGTTGCAGTTAAAGTGCATTTGTGGTGTGGTATTATCTTGTAACAGAACTACTGAATCACTGCGGATCTTGTGTGGATATTTGATTTATTGTATATTGCACCAATTGTTTATTTTGCATTTATTTTATTTAATATTTTTCTAAATAATAAGAGACCTTCGTTAATCATATACCAGAGTGGTGTTCGAGTATTTTATTTCAAAGCCAGTTATCATATTTGGGTTTCACATGTTGATTACAAGGGAAGCTAAGATAGTTGACGCTGGGTTTCAGTGTTGATATTAAGAAACAATAATCTAAAAGAACTCAGGGCCCTGCCCATACATACTTGGTAGAGGGTAGGAGCGCTACAAGTGCCATGAAGAACATATGACAGCCATACTGGCAGGAAACGTTAGTATGAGCAATCTTATCGTGAAGTCACTCATCTCACTTAATTTGGTTCTCGAAGTTTCTTCCCTTGAATCCATGAATATTGAACTGATTTAACAGGATTGAACAGGATTTAGGGTTCAGTTTCAGGGATCCGAACCTGGACTCTGATGTGCTTGTTTTATTAAAGGCTCTGTACTCTGTAAAAACACTGTTCAAAGACCTAAAGAATGAAAATATGGGAAAATCTGCAGACTTTTATACATGACTGACATGTGACCCTATCATTTAAACCACTAAGTACAAATTAAACAAACCTCAGAAAAGACAGTTCAATATATGAGAGACAATAAAAATCAAAAGGAACAGGAAACTGGTTGAAATAAAAGCAGCTAAATCATCTTAAGCTGTCACTGTGGTTTATTTCTTACCTATTTTATAGTTTCAGAGTTTACATGTTGTTTTTAATCTAGGATTACACATTTCTATCTGTCATAGTATTTTTATGTAAAAAAGTATTTGCTGAGACTGCATGTAGTCTGTGCAGGGCAGTGTACTCACCAGTGTTTGCCAGAGATTCTGATGTTTTGTTGAGGAAAACCTGATGAATGTTTCTTCAGAGACAGACAGACTTGTCTCAACAGCAGTCTCTCAGACGGACAGGACTAACAACATTCAACAGAACATAGCTGCTTTTTGAAAATGTCCACAGAATCAGCAGACCATAACACTGTGGGCATTCCAAAGTCTGTGTGCAGTGCTCTGTAAGTAACTGTAAGAATCTTGAACTGGATCAGATATGCGACAGGGAGCCAGATAAGAGATCATTGGTGTCAAACGATGCGGACTGATCAAATATTATGTCTACATTTCACAGGTAGGATTGGGCAGCTGAGGAGATATTATCTTTTGAATAATCATAGGGCACGTTTTTCAGGAGCAACAAACAGAACCTGATCTTATCAGCACTGAGCTGTAAAAATGTTCTGCAGTCCAGTTCCTAATGTGTGTTAAACAAGTCTAGGAGCCTAGATGTTAAATCTGTCCATGATCTTTCCCAAGGGCAGCAGATATAAAGAGAATAACAGGGGCCCCAGAACCGAGCCCTGGGGGACACAAGACAGTGGAGAGAAATCAGACTCGTCACCTGTAGAGACGGGGAAACGTCTGTCAGAGAGATAAAATGGAAACCAGTGGAATGCTGAGCCTGGTATACCCACACAGTCACAAAGCCTCTTTATCAGACATGGGTCTAAATGGACCTTGTGGTGAAATTGTTTTCTCCACCGCTGTCGCCAAGCTCAAAATATAACAAACTGACAGTAGCTGCCGTCGTTCAGATCTCAGGCTGTTAAAAATAAAGGTCGCATTTCTTTATTGAGGGAAGCCGATCCTAAACCAGCACAATGGAACAGAATTGAAGAAAAGGGTGTGGCATCACTGTGGTGACTGCTGCTGCTGCTCTGAGAGATGAGCAAGACACTTAACCCCTAGTTCCTCCAGAAGCGTGCAACCTCTGAAACATCTAGCAGCTGTAAGTCGCTTTGGAGAAAAGCATCAGCTAAAGGAGGAATTATTATTAATGACGTGTGCTTCCAATAAACCTGACATCATTTATACCGACTAGGACAGAGCAATCAGAGAGTCAATCAGAGGTGGGTAGTAAGTGGTTACCAGTAAGTACATAAGTACAAAAAACAGTTTTTTTTTTAACAGAACCTCTTATCAACTCTGAAATGAGCTGTCATCCAAGCTGTGTTAGCAGGAGAGCTTTAACCAGTGCCAGATATTAATATGCTGATCAGATGCAAACATTTAGAAAATCAGGCAAATTATTTTGTTCTACTAATTTTACTTAAATCAAAAAACTACAGATTCTGCCACTGGTGTCTGTTTTGCAAGCTGCAGAAATACTTTCACTTTCCATCAATATTGGATTAGAGGATTATTTAGTCTCTGCAGAACAAATGTAGGCTACACACCGTATATAACGTCAGATGATCAGTGGATATTATCAGAATCCTCTCATTGCGCAGAGCACAGTTTTTTTTGTTTTTTTAATGTAAGGAGACAGTAAATATAGTTGGATAAAACAGTCCTGTTGTGCTTCACATGCGACGCCTATATTCCTCTATATGTAGGCCTATACCCGACCTTATTCAATGAGACGCTCAGTAGTTACTGCCACAATAAATAATTACGCTGTAAAGATTATGTTCACAGATACTTGAGGAATAATCACATTGTATTGGGTGCGTGAGCTGCTGGAGAAAGCGGATCAGACAGATACCAGATACCGCAACAGTTGGAGGCTAGACACCAAGCAACAAAAATCACAGATCATCAACATGCAAAGTGCATTTCCCTGAAGTAACCATGTTACTCAGAGGCTGTTTCTAACCTGATGCACAGTATCAGACATTTTCTATTCCACAAGGAGACTCTAAACTTGGACTAGCCTCTGGCCTGCACACACAAAGCAGAATAGGAAAACTTTGACTCACTGTGATCAGAACACCCTGTTGTTGGCAAACTGGATTTGGTTACCAGGAGATTTGGACCCTTACAACTTCAGATCCCCAAAGTAGGTGACTAACTGACTGAGCTACTGGTGAGGGGATGTTTCCACACACCTCGGACTCCTGAATTGACCATGGGGGTGCTCAACGTCTGATTTTACATAGAACTACCAGTTTTCTCCCAATAAGTTGAAATGTTGATACATTTCAACATATATATTCAAATATTCAATAATATATTCTGTCATCAGTGCTTAAAAAAGGTCCAGTGTGGAATATTTCTGAGGATCTAGCGACAGAAATGCAATATAAGATCCGTAACTATGTTTTCAGTGGTGTGTAAAGACTTTATATATTAAACCTTTGTTTTTATTACTTTAGAATGAGACATTTATATCCACATAACCGCGGGTCCCCCCTTCCGTGGACGTCGCCACATTGCATTGTCAGCGCTACAGAACACGTTTCGTCACTACCTTCTTCTTGTGCCATTTCTGGTAGAATTCAGGCAGTGCAGACACTCACTATGTTGAACACGTACGTTAGAAGAAGCAGCAGTAATATACTGCAGAGTTTTTCAAAGTAAAAGCTCAGTTCTACTCCAATGAAAGCATTGCACTAAACAAGCTTGTTGTGCTTTTATTTTGTAAGCAAAACCACTAAAGAGGAAGTGATTTTGTGAGTAAGTATTTATTTATATTTTTTGCCGCTATCAAAGCACCATAATCTGGCAGCGAGCCAGATATTATTGTTGGCGGGCAGTTTTGGCGAGTGTCCATAATCACAGACAGAATTAACGTGTTTCCCTTGTCAATGTTTGTATAAACATTAATTTAATATGTGGTTTATAATGGACTGTGGTGCAGAAACAGTGTTTCACACTCTTTGCTTATGTTTTCCATGTTATCTGTCGGTGGCCAAGCCACAATAACACATGGTTTTACTGAATAATTAAGTAAATATTTTTAAATAAATCTACCTAAAGAAACCTCATTTCTTGACTGGCCACTCTCTGCTGTCTTTACCTTTTGTGCTGTGTCAGCCACCGTAGCTGTCCTACGCTCTTTGAAAGTGTAGGGGGCAGCGGTAGACTGGACCGATGGTTGCAATTCACAACCCTCGCCACTAGATGCCACTAAATCTTACACACTGAACCTTTAAGACAATTTTGATGATTGTGCATTAATACGATTTTAAGAAAAGCGGTAAAATGTTGCATAATTTGACATTTTTAGAGCAGGAGACAATTGGAGCAAAGATGCAGATGAATCCAGAGATTAAAATGATGAAAGAAGTTTGCAAAAACATAAAGCTGCTTTTATAGCAGCACCATAAGGTCAATGGGTGCCATTTTTTGTGTAGTTTTTTAGTAGTAGGTGGAAAGAAAGAACAATGAGCCCTTAAAATATTACAATTCAATATTAAAGGTCAAATAAATAAAGCAATATGTATACTGGTATTTTCAAATATGTCACATCATTCTTTAATTCTTTGGGGTCTCAACATGCTGATTTTCTGTAAGAGATTTTTATTTCAGGTAGATTATCAAAAATAGTTGCCAATTCATTTTCTGGCAGTTGACTAATCGTGTCAGTTTGTTTTCTTGTTTCATGTTATTTAAATAACAGTAAAATGCTAATTATAGTAATATAACTATGTGGACACAAACCGGTTGACCTGCTGCTTTCACACGCCGTCTCATTTCTGTCTAATTTCTTATAATAAAAAAAGGTTTGAAGAAATGTTTAAAACTGAATTTTTTTAATATTTTCAGTGATTTACACATAAATGATTTGGGATTAAATCGCTTTACATATAAAGCGTTTCATTTATTACTACCTGGAAGAGTTATTTACAGTTACGCAGTATATTGTATACATTTATTTTAGTGCCTGTGTCAACTTTCTTGTATTTTGGATTTTTGGCAGCTTAAAACTTCATTAGATGAACAAAGAATCAGACTCACAGCTGAGTTTGTGCTGAAATAAAGGACACCGTGTATGAGGGGTGAGGACAGTATAAAAAGGAAATAAACAAAGACAATGTTTACATGTAAACATTGTCTTTGCAGAATGAAGCTGGATTTAAGACTGAAATATAAATGCATTAATAACCATTAATAATAATAATAACAGTATTATCAGACAATTATACTTTTACTTTTTTAAACTAATGTCTGGGCATTTTCATGCCTTTGTTTAGCACTGGTGACCTGTCTTTTTAGTTTAACATTTTCCTAATCAATTTCTTTTTTAAATTTTTTTTTATCTTAATTTTTCTCTTTGATGTGTCTTATTATATTGTCACAGGTTTGTGCAGGGAGGCAGGTTGGCAGACCAAATGCAGGACACGTAAGCTGACTGGTAAAGTTCAAAAGGTTTATTAATAAACAAAAAGTGAGCACACTTACAACGTAGTGGCTGAGCCCAGGGAATCCAAAATCCAAAGAAACAAGGTAATCCAACAGAAAAGGCCAGAAACAGGTGTACAATCCAAAATCCTAACAACTGACAGGGAACAAGCAAGACGAGACTGAGCAGACAACACTACAACACACTGTAACGACCCGACAAAGACTAAACAGAAACACCAGGTATATACACAGGGACTAAGGAGCAGGGCGGAAGCAACACAGGTGACAGGGATCAAGGTTAACGAGGCAGGCAGAGAGAGAGCCGGGGGGAGAACAGAGAGACAGAAACTTGACAGGCAGACATGGGGCAAAATGAATAACCAACACAGACAGAACACATGTTACAATGTACCAGAACCTAAACGAGAACACAGAACAAAAACAGAGCACTGAGCAGACTAAACCAAAATAAAGTAAACAAGAACTAGGAGCGAATACTAAAACATGAACTAAGGACCAGGACTAAGAACAAAGACAGAACTAAAACCCAGACTCCCCCACAAGACACACAGACAGGATCATGACATATATTTTTATATCGCTTTTCTTTTTTAAACGTTAATCTTGCCTAATAACTTCTATTTTGGTTATTTGGTATTGCTGGAATTTTTAAAAACATTGTCAAGCACCTTGTATTGTTATTTTACACAAAAGGCGCTCTACAAATAAAGTCTGAGTATTTTGATCAAAACTAACTTTAAATGTGAGCGATGAAGAGGAAACAACCTGCAGCTCTGAGTTTGGACACCAGGGGGCAGTGAAGCACCGAGGAGAGCTGGAGTCTGCAGACAGTTAGAGGCAGGAAGAGTTCCAGCAGCAGAGTCTGAGAGGCTGCAGGCAAACACAGGAGGGAGAAATGAGCTTTTCAGGGGCCACAGCAGATTTAATGTTGGGCCCCAAACCTTATTTCTGCTATTTTTATTTCTGTGCAAAGACTGAAAGATGATTCACAGATTCTGTTTGTCCGCAGTGATTAAATGAAGGTCAGGAATTTGTGAAGAAATTCATTTGAATATCTGATAATTGGAATCTGATCAAACCTGCCACGCTGCGGTTAAACCTGACCAGCTGTTACTGTACTAGTTTTGTCACAGTCCAGTGTTTCCATCAGCAGCAGTACTCTTTATTCTATTAATTATATAGTAAAATGTGATTTCTTCTTTTATCCCCAGGCCTATTTCTTTTACATACATAAGACATAATAGAAGAGCAGAATAACTGAGTAAGAAGCTGATATTCCTGTTTACAAAGCCGTACTGAACAATGTAAATCTATATATCTAAACACTTTATGAACGGTTATATTTAGATTGTCAAAATAGATAAAATAAAAACACTATTTAATTCTCAGTGTTCAGGTTTGCTGAGTTAATAAAGCTGCAGCTTTAAACTGTGACACTGGTGTTAATGGTGGCAGGAAGTTGTCCAGTTAATGCTTCCAGCACAAAATGTGTACAAACGAGTTAGCAGCTTCTCTCTTTATGTCGAACACATTTCTACTTGTTGGTCAGAATAACTGAAGTGTCGGTGTCTCAGTATGGAGACTCTGTCTCAGTACATCACTCTCTGTCCTGTTTGGTTCTTTGGTATCTGGGTCTGAATGGATCTCCTCTTTGTCTTTGATATTTGGTCAGGTCTTGGTTTTTAATTAGCTTCGACACAAAGAAACAAAGATTCCTGATCGCTATGGACTCTAGAATAGTTTCTCTCCTCTTTCTATTTTAGCCATGTACTCAGCCTTTTCTCTCATGGTTATCAGGGACTGAACTCGTTTCTTCCAGCCTGGCTTGGCCTCAGATTTCTCTCCCTCAATCAGCATGTCAATGTACTCTGGAGTGGAGAGAGGATTTGGCTTCAGTTCTATCTCTTTAAGTCTGTTTAAACACTCAGAAGACTTCTTTATCAGTTTCACCACCTCAACCTGACCACCATCATATTCAGCCTTCAGTTTATCAATCAGTGCCTGAACAGGTCTCTTAGCCTCTGAGGCTTTCAGGTACTTTTCTTTCAGCTTTTTCACGGTTTGTTTTTCTTTTACTTCCTTATACTCCCATTTGTACTTCTGATTATAATGTACATTCCAGAAACATTTGCCTGGACACTCAGTACAGTATCCATCTGATCCCATTGCAGCACAGTGTCTTAAATCTGCATCATTTGCATATGGACAGGGATAGTGACAGGTGACATGACACTGCTGACAGTTGGTGAGGTAATTTCCAGTACCAGAAAAATCTACTTCAAAAGGCTTCATGACGGTGACTTCAAACTCAAAGTTCTTGTTTCTTTTCATCTCTGCCTCGTGCTCTTTTAGTATTTCACTTGTCTCTTTTATCTCCTCCAGCTTGGCTAACTGAACTTTAACCTGCTCCTGCAAGTTTTCAACTGAATTCTCGAGCTGCTCTCTTTCTCTGAGGACCTCCTTTGTCATCGTCAAGCTTTTACTTTCTATGAGATTCAAAGCAGCAAAGAACCTCTTCATGCTTTTTGTCCCCATGTTCCAACACATCTGATCAAAGCCTCCATCTTCATCCTCATCATCCCCACTCATGCTGCCTGCTGCAGATGATTTGTTGTCTGCAAACAAAGCTGAGTTATTGAATTTGAAGTGAACTGGCAGCCCGTCTCTTGTTTTAGGACATGGGACACCTGAAGCATTGATTGCCTCTAGAACTGGTGGACGCTGGCTGTCTGCGAATGTCACCAGAACCCTGATGTTTTCTGCCACATCTTTGCCAAAGATTGAGAGCACAGAGTCAAACACATATTTCTGTGTTGGTGTGAGTCGAGGTAAAGAAGCCTGAGCTACAAAACACACAGCGTCAATTTCACTGACACCAAGCTCAGCAGAGAAGAGATTACACAGCTGTTCTGTGATGCTCTCATCTCTTATTAAGCCTCTTGTATCTCCAAACTCTGGAGTGTCAACAATGGTCAGAGAGTATTCTGTTTTAAAACCCTCCTGGTGGTTGATTTTGTACACAGTGACTTCAGAGGTCTGACTTTCAGCCTGTGACGTCGACTGACCCTCATCAATTAGTTTGAATCTGTAATTGTCCTTCCACTCTACACCAACAATGTAGTTGATCAGTCCATTGATGAGAGTCGCCTTTCCAGATCCGGACACTCCAAAAAACATTATTGTGCGATTTTTCCTTGTGCTTTCTTTGCCAAAACTGTATCTTCTACATCCATCAATGTCCGTATCTTCTTCTTTCAGAGGCAGTTTGTAAACTGAAGGTGATTCAGAATTTATCCTTTCACTTCTACTTTTGAGGAGTTCTGTGAGACGTTTAAATTTCATTGTGCAGACATTAACAGAGATGCTCTCCTTGCTTCTTCCAGCTGCACCACAGTCACATCTGACCCTGACAACATATTCTGTCTCTGGCTGAAGCCCTGAAATGATTGCCTTTTCAGCTCTCGACATCATTTGCTTCCATTGGAGATCTTCCTCTTTCACCCCGTTGTCTGTTTTGGCGTACTCCACGATGTAGCTCAAAATCTGGACATCTTGTCCAAGCTCAGCAGGTTTCTCCCAGCTGACTGAGATCTCACTTGAGTTTGGATCAACTTGAGGTTTTCCAGGAGGGCTGCAAGGTAAGGTTTTAATGGAACCACTGACTTCATTGGCCGGCCCAAAACCTGCTGAGGTCACTGCTCTGCATCTGAACATATACTCTGTGTTAGGACTCAGATGGCTCACTGTGACTTCTCCAGCTTTTGATGCTGTCTCTTGTTGCCATCCATCCTCTCCTCTGACACAGTACTCTACAGAGTAGGAGGTGATGTTCTCTGCTCCAAATCTGGGCGCAGAAATCTTCAGTGTCACACTGTTGTGCTTTATGTCACTTGCTGTTACTGTTTCAGGCTTTGAAGGCGGCTCAAAGTTCTCATTGACAGAAAAGCCGTCTTCATAAAGGTAGATGCTTGAACCTTTCTGTGTCTCATTTGTTAATCCCACTGTCAGGAACTTTATGTTCTTGTTCTCCTTGTTGGCCTCTGCAAAGTCACTGAAGAGCTTTGCTTTATTCCTCATTGCATCTGGCACTTTGTTTGAAAGATACCATTGTTCTTTCTCTACATCTCGAGTATGTGCATCTTGAGGGTCGTCTGGTTCGGCTGTTTGTTTTAAGTAGTTAGATAAAGCTGAGAGGTACGGTTCAGCACTTCCCAGGGAGGTGAAAACAAAACACACAGCATGATCTGCACTGAGGGTTTCTTCACTAAGAACATTCTGAGAGGGGACGATCTTGGTGTTTTTCATCATATTGGTAAACGATTTTAAGATGCAGATTTCTGTCATTTTACAGTCCAACCACTCGTTCAGGTCTTTGCTGTTGAAAGGAGAAGAATGTCTCTTCTTCAGGATCTCTGCGAGCACAGCCTCCTCTTCTCCTCCTCCTCGGATTGATGGAAGTTTCTTTGCCAGATTTTGTTGGAATCCGAGCTTGAACTCAGAGCACATCTCTTTAAAGGTTTTAATCTTTTTGCCAATCTGTGGGAACTGCTGTCCGGTGGTGGTTCTCATTGTGTCATTGCACCTCATTTCCAGCTCACTGAAGTCCTCCAGGACTCTCTGTGATTCCTGAACTAATCCTATACTTATCTGACGGACCAGTTTTGCAGCAGAAGAATCTAAACTTGTCAGTGGCAACAGCCAGACTTTCATCGGTACAGCCTTTTCTCCGTTGGCTCCCAGTAATCTTGGCAGGCTTTGGTAGACTTCTACTGCATCCTGAAAGGACACAGGACTTTTTTCAAGAGCAAAGTCTCCAAAGAATCTGCAGGAGAATTTCTCAACATTTGCTCGGTCCTTGTCTTCCAGTTTCAGGGAACCTTCACCCTCTATTGCAAGGCTGGGAATCTTCTTGATCATCATCTTCAAGTTCCCCTCAATGTCTTGATGATCTTCTTTTTTAGACACCTCACGGTCAAAGACAAAGAAGGCTTGTGCCCCATAAAGAATGGCTGTGACTACATGTGTTGCTAATCCTTTATCAAAGACATATGGATGCTTCATATTGTCTCTTCCAAGGTGATCCATCGACAGTTCCTGGACCTTTGTGGTACTTTTGTACGTCAGAGTTACTCTGGCCTGATTTTTGGAAATCTTACTGTCGTTCAGGTATTTGGCCGATCCATCAACCTCAACCAGTCCACTCAAGAAACTTGCCTTCAGGGAAGCTTCAACGTTTAGTGCTGAAGATTTGTCCTCAATTGATTCAGATGCAACGATCTCAAAGTCAGTGTTCGGTTTTGGTCTTTCTCCTTTATCTTTTTCCAGGTCATTGCGGTCCCACAGCGTAATGCCTGCCAAAAAGAAGAGGAGAAGTCAAACTGCCTTTTATTGCATGATAGTAAGGCTTAGCTTTTAAACACAAAATCAGAGAAATTCTAAGAATAAAAGTAACAAAACAACGCTGGCTGTTTGTAAGAACCCTCTCTGTGTTATATTAAGAAAAGCATCAATTCACAAATTAAAATAGCTTCTTCCTGACATTCTTTAAAACAAAACATGTTGGTAATCTCTATCAGAACAAGAGACACATGATTTTCAGATAATTAAAATGAAGCAAAAGTGATCAAACGATCTGAGATGAAAATGTTGTTGAATGTGGCTTTAAATCCTGAAAGTTTTAAGTATCTTCACATGTGAATCCTTACCAGGGACGAGTGAGTCTTTGCGGCAGTCGTACAACATCCCGAGGCTGAAAGGCCGGCCGAGCGCCGCCACCTCCATCGTCCCGCCGGCTTCAGAGTCCATCGCTCAGTCTGAACTGGACAAAATGGACAACAGCTTGTTAGTTCATTTCTCTGACACTTCTCTGTGTGATGGCCACAGCAGGAATTAAAAATATTTGGTAATATCACGTCCAGACACCCTCACATTTTCACTTTAATTTGACCTTTTTACTCATTCAGTTTTAATTTACTTTCATATAAAACAATCAAACTCTGATTTTAAACAGCTATAATAGATATTTTTATAATCACAATGTGAAAACAGTGTGTTGTGTCTCTGGCATTGATGAAGCTCCAGAGAATTATCAGCTGAATCCCCTCAGATTTACGGAGCTGCAGCTGAATCAGAACGCTGCTGCTCGAGTCCTCAGTAAGATCAAAAAAGTGGATCACATCACTCCAGTTCTGAGGTCTTCACGCTGGCTTCCTGCCTGTCAAACAGTTCATTTTAAAATATTAATGTTTATAGAGCACTGAATGGTTTAGGGCAAAAATACACTATATTACCAAAAGTTTTGGGTCGCCTGCCTTTATGTGCACATGCAGGTTAATGACATCCCATTCTTAATCCGTAGGGTTTAATATGGAGTTGGCCCACTCTTTGCAGCTTTAACAGCTTCAACTCTTCTGGTCTCACGAGGTTTAGGAGTGTGTTCATGGGAATTTTTGACTGTTCTTCTAGGAGCGCTTGATTTTATACACCTTATTGGAACAGCTAAATCCAATGATTCAGAGGGGTGTCCCAATACTTTTGGCAATATAGTGTATATTTCTGATCTTCTGCTGCGTTATGAACCATCCAGACCTCTCAGGTTGTTTGGGATCAGGTCTGCTTTTTTTCCCAGAGTCAAACCTAAACAACAGTTTTTATGCTCCGTATATCTGGAACAAACTCCGAAAAAACTGCAGGTCTCTTGAAGACTTTCCTGTTTGACTCTACACTGAAATGGAACTTTTATTGTTTTATCTTGTTTATATTTTCAGGTTAACAGGTTAAATGTCTTTTTATAGTGCGCTATGTTGTTTTTATCTTTTAACTTTGACTCGCCTAGTTGTTGAAATGTGCTACAGATATAAACTTGCCACCTCTTAAAGCGTTTACTTCAATATGTCCATATATTTTACTGAAAGCTGTTGCACTTACACCCATACACGTGGAAATACTCTCAGAATGGTAACAAGAAAGCCTACTAAAGCGAATTCCAGCATTTCTGTTTGTTTTCTGTGAAGTTACTGTGAGGCATGTGAGATGAGCTGCTGTGCTGAGCTGCATGTCGGTAAAGAGAACTGTGAGAACAGTTAGTAGAGGAATGTGAAAAAGCTGGAACCTCAGCAGGAACTCTTCATCTGTCTGCCCTGTGCTGCTGCTGTCAGGGATCAAACCTGTACCATGCTGCCCTCTGCACAAAAATCATTTACAGGCTTAGTAAATATCATAGGAATAAATAGCCATACTAACTTAATTAAATCTCTGAAAATCGCTTTTGTAATTGTTTGAGTTGCACATACCAAAATAATAGATTTAACCGTTAATTTTTTTTTTCAATTATCATTTAATTTTTTTTATTTCACAAAATGAAATTAGTATTTGCCTGACAAATACATTTCTTTAGATATCCTTAATATTTTTGGTAAATTTCTATCAAAATATTTGAGAATGGATTAAGTCTAATGATTAGTTACAAGAACCACAATTATTACTTATTCCAACTTAACATTATTTAAACTTTAAACTACTACTTAATAAACTGAGTAAGTTGCGCGCCACATGTACGCTAATCATGTGGCCTCGTGGGAAATCTGCCTCTCTGCCTTGGCAACAACCAACAAGTGGCAGCAAGAGGGAATGACACACCACAAGAAGCACCTGGAATATTCCTTGCTAACCCTGGTAAGTTAAGTTTCCAGCTAGTAAAAGTTAATGAATATTCACACTGGTGGTAATTTTCTGAAACCGTCGTAGCCATGCTGTCATAGGTAACTTAAGTTAGAGGGTTTGCTGCATTATAAACTAACGCTAATGTCGACAATGAAGCTAATGTTAATGTAAGCACAACCACAGCTAACCATAAAACTTTGCATGGTATGTTTGTGTATTTATATTGGCGATACGGCTACGGCCTTACGAAAAGTAGGAAACGAGTTTGAGAGGTGGAGGGGGAGAGGGTGTAGCTCCTGCGCGCATACAGTCTATGCTGCACGCACACTCAGGGCGAACGGCACGAGCAGACAGTTAAGAGACAGCAAAGTGAAAAGACGTTTTACTCGAGCTGAAAGCAGATGCAAAGCAGCGGGTGTGGGAGAAGTTCGGTGAAGACATGGAGAAGGACTTTCGGTCGGCAACAAAGTGTTTCTGGAGAACTGTCCGCCATCTCAGGAGGGGGAAGCGGGGAACCGTCCAAGCTGTGTACAGTAAGGATGGGACCCTGTTGACCTCAACTGGGGAGCTAATTGGGCGGTGGAAGGAACACTTGTGGAACAAGTCACGAGGAAATCTAAAAATATTTTATCAAGTGTTATGTATTCACCTTGTCACTTATTTACCACCTCGCACACAGTGTCTTTCTTAATAGGGACACGATTCATCCCATTTCACCGCTAATATCACATATGACATCTATAATAGGCTTTACGGGTCTGCAACCAGCCAGAACTCTCTAACAAGTCAAGATGAACATTCTAAAACTGTTTGAATCTCAGAGTTTCTCATCCTTCAGTAGAGGAATGTGAAAAATCCTCTGTAGTGACAAACTTTGCACAGATACACGTCAGTAAAATCAAGGTCTGACATTTTAAACAGTTGCAACACGTCTGAGTGGAGGGGATCTTTACCAACTGTGAGACTATCCTTAAACCACAAATTAAACAAACCTCAGGAGAGACAGTTCAATATATTTTAGAGAGAGACTAAAGAAACAGGAAACCGGTAAAAAGAAAAAAGTAAATCATCTTAAGCTAAGGTTAGCTGTGACTGCACTCGGTGTTTTCTTTTCTTCCTGTTGTATAGTTTTAAAGTATAGAGCAGTATATAAAGTATATACACATGTCAAAGTTTACATGTTATTTCCCCAAAAAATTACACACCTGTCATAATATTTTAAATGAAACAAAGTCAGATTCTGGTTTTAATTAAATTTGGCCAACTAACAGTGTACTCACCAGTGTTTGTCAGAGAGTCTGATGTTTTGTTGAGGAAAACCTGATTCAGTTTAAATTTTCTTCAGAGACAAACAGAGAGACTTGTCTCGACTGCAGCCCTGCAGTCTCTGAGACAAAATTTCAACTTTGTATGAGAAACTATGATGTTGAAGCTCTCCTCAACAGGACCGACAGGACAAACAACATTCAACGCAACAGACACAAGAACACAGCTGTTCTGTTCGATCTGTATCTGATCTTTCACAAGGGCAGCAGATAGAAAGAGAATAACAGGGGACCCAGAAACGAGCCAGTGAGGAGGAATCAGACCCCATTTTTAGTTTACAAGATCAAAATATAACCGACTGAAAGCAGCTGCTGTTGTTCAGATCTCAGGCTGCTAAAACAAAAATAAAGGCCACTATTTCTTTATGAAGGGGAGCAGAGTGTGTGGACCGAACCACAGCAGCTTTTAGAGCAAAGAAACCATGAACCAAACCTTCACTCAGCTGATCCTAAACCACCACAACTGAACAGACGTGAAGAAAACGGTCATCAGTGTCACTGCTGCAGCTCCTCTGAGTTAGTAATGACGTGTGCTTATATTTTCATATCGTTCATACTTTAACTAGAACTGAATGATCAGAGAGTCAATCAGGAAGCATTACAAACGGGTGGGTAGCAACTCGTTACCAGTTAACTGTACTTTTACTCTACCAGTATTCTTTTGGTCCCAGTAATTGATTTTTAAATGCAAAATGAGCGGACAGCTGTGTTACACAGGAGAGCTTTATCCGGTTCCCCTCTGTCAGATATTAACAGCAAAAACTGAGAAATTCAACAAATACCTTTTCATTTTAAGGTTTTGTTGTTCTACTAATGTAACTCAAATCCAGTAACTACACACTGTGTTACTGGTGGTCGTGTTGGAAAGCAGCCTGTATCACCGTTTCACAAGCTGCAGAAATACTTTCACTTTCCATCAACGCGTATTAACATATTAGTTTCGGTAAAACGTTGCATTGCTATTTGTAGAATGTCTCCGGTGAAACTGATCTTGGCTTTCACTCAGCAGCTGCCAGCTGTTTATTCAGTAATCATTTTTGAGAAGCATAAGGAGAGTAAATGTGTGGATTAAACATTCAGCACAGCTTCCTTTATATTTAGGCTTACCCGACTTCATTCAACAAGCTGCTCTGTTGTTTCTGACACAATAAATCTTTACGCTGTAAAGATTATTCCTAACGCATCTATGAACATAATCACATTGTATTAGCTGCCTGAGCTGGAGGCAGATCAGAATCAGCAACAAGCAGGTGTGCTTATTTTACCTTCATGTAGATAAAAAGACTACGGTAATTGTATTAAACAGAATCAGGGATAATCAGGAACTGCATCCCTCAGAAATAAGCACGTTTACATTTACTCATTTGGCAGACGCTTTTATCCAAAGCAACTTACATTTGAGGAACAACATACAAGCATCAACAGAGCATCAACTACAGATCTGACAACACATACTAGTAAGAGCTCACAGTACATATCACATCAATGGGGTAAATTCCTAGGGAAGGAAGTAAGAGTTAACAAAAAGTGCAATCAAAACAAAAAAGTGTAATCAATACAAGATCATTGTAGGGGATAGAAAGAAGAGCACAGGAAGTGCATGTTAGGAGTTAGGAGTTAGAGGTGTTATAAGAGGAAGTGTTCTCGAAGAGATGAGTTTTCTGGAGCTTCTTGAAGTTAGAGAGGGACGGCCCTGCTCTGATGGCGTGCGGTAGCTCGTTCCACCATCGTGGTGTCACAGATGAGAATAGCCGGGACTGGGACTGCTTTGTGTGAAGGGATGGCAGAGCCAGGCGGCGTTCGTTGGAGGAGCGTAGCGGGTGAGAAGGAACGTAAGTTTGTATTATGGAGTTTAGGTAGATGGTGCAGACCCAGTAGTCACTCTGTATGCAGCATTAGTGACTTACATTTGATTCTGGTTGTTGCACAGTGGCTGCTTCTAACCTGATGCACAGTATCAGACATTATTCCAAAGAGAGACTTGCAACCTGGCTTTCACCTGCCTCTAGGCTGCACACACCAGACAGTATTAAAAAAAAAAGTAACTTGTACTTTGAGTAGTTTATTGACCAGATACTTTTGAGTAAAGATTTGAAGTATTTTACACATCACTAATTATATACCAGAAAAATACAACATATCTTATTCAACACAAACAAACAATCCACAATACAAAGTTTATACACTATATACACACACATTTGTAACCGAGGCAACTAGTGAGGGGTTCAAATCATCAAATATTTAAGTAAAAGTTGCCATGGGTTTCCTACAATTAATAAAATTCAGAGACATGGGTTTCGACTGGAAGGAAGATTTATTTAGAGCGGGTTGGCGGCGGTTCAATCCCCGGGTCCCCCTGCATGTCGAAGTGTCGTTGGGCAAGATACTGAACCCTGAATGTTAGTTTCCGTTTGAGCACTTAGGCTCAGTGTGTTTGTATGAATATAATGAATGTGTTTGACTGGTGAATGCAGATGTGCTGTAAAAGTGCTTTGAGTGGTCGAAAAGACTAGAAAGGCGCTATACAAATACGGAGCATTTACATTTACAAGCACAAACAATAAAAACAGATAATATGTAGGTGCCAATACTGCCAG